CCCCCCCCCCCCCCCCCCCCCCCCGCACCACACGTCAACGTTGTGCGATCGTCGTCGCTGTCAGTCTCCGTGCTTCTTGTGCATGATTGTTTCGCACGTCGGTTCACATTGACGCAAGGTAAAAACCACTGGACGGGGAACGAGGGTGAACTCGAGAAGAAGCCACAACCGCATTTCTCGCGAACGCACGTTTGACCCTTGCACCAACTTCGCGTTCCTCCGCACTGAATTCGCGACTGTTTTGCGTGGATGCATATGTGCGTACGTGCGTGAATGCGTGAGATCGCATCATCTCCCGATACCTCCGCGTTACCTTATCCGGTAACCAGGTGATACGCGCGATCCTCGCCAAGGAATCCGCGCTCATGCGCGTGCATATATAGCGTAATGCCTAGTTGTACGTATGTATGTATGCATGTGTGTGCGTCAGACGCGACTGCAAATCGCGATTCAGTTAATGGGTCATATAAATAATGCGGATCGAGTGCCCTTTGTTGTTTGAAGGAGAAATTTAAAACGGAATAAAATGTTTGAAAAGAACGCTTTTGTTGTCAAGTCAACAAACGTTCGAACTTTTCAAAACGTTCAAGTATCTTGTTGTGTCTTCAAGTACCCTATATATGTCTAATAATACTGTATAGAATAACACTTGATATATTTTTTAATATCTAATAATTATTGAGGCTTTTATTCGTTAATAGTTGTTTTTACATTCTACTGAATTATGTTACAAGTATTTGATGTAAAAAAAGTTTACTATTGCAATTCTGACTTGCAATATAATTTAATTCGTACATGTTTATTTCATACTTTTACATTTTGTATGATCAAAAATTCTAATATATTGTAAACAAGTAAAATAGAACAACTGTTTCTTCTAAAAAATTAAAATCTAATATAAATAATGTAGACTTATTTGAGATGAAACAATATATCTTATCTCTAAAAAATACTTGTACAAAAATAATATTTGAAAATTGCTTTTTGAAAGTTAAGGAATTAATGATAGCTATTTTTCATCATGTTTGTAACTAATAGTAACTTGAAAACCCTTTGTTATTTAATTGTTTTAGGCAAATTGTTGTTAGGAAATGGCAACAGAAGGCAATAGCAACGATTCTGAATTACGTTTATTACGATATCTATATGTTGGAAAAGATTATCCCAATTACCAGCCTGGATATTGGTTTGCCCATCATTACTTTATAGTCAGGAATGTTCTAGCCATAGAAGAACTTGCTGAAAATGAGGAAAAACAATTGGTACCTATTGAACTGATCACAAAGGTAAACGACACAAATTGCATAAAATGTTTGCAATAACATGCTATTTCTAAACTATATCTATTTGTAGGCATTTGAGAGTAATTTAGTTACACATCCCGAGGCTTTGGTGTTTGCCCTCGCTGTTTGCTGCAGACAAAATAAAAGCGAGAAACTACGTCATGCAGCATACGAAAGTGTAAAAAAGATCTGTGCGTCTACTCCAAATTTTATTCTGTTTGTTAAATTTGTTTCTAAACTATGCAGAGAAAAAGAATTGAATTACATTACACAAGGTTGGGGCCATGGCTTGAGAAAAGCTATTAACAATTGGTACCTATCTAAAAACCCATTAGATTTCATAGAGTGTGTCACAAAATATAAAAGTAGATATGGTTGGAAACACAAAGATATTGTGAAGATGGCTCATCCTCTAGGCGATTCTCCAGGTAAACATACATAGCCACATTCATGAGGAAAGCATGGATCCCCTATTATACTTGTTTATTAATTATCACTTTGCTTTTTTAATATAAGTCTATCATTTTATTTTTCATTTATATTCTTACAAGTAATGTTGCTGATTATAATTATATTCGATAATACTGATGGCTGGAAATTGTTTTAAATTTGAATAGATATATATATATAATATATATAACTTCAAAAATATTTAACAGTAATTCACATCGCGGATTTACATTATATTGTAATTTATGGCTGTAACCTATTATCCAATATTACTAAAAATGTTATACTTAGATAATTCATTATTTAATAGAAAGTAAAATGATCCTGAAGTATATAATACACGGCTTGGAAAAGACCAAAAAGGATATAGCTGATCAAGTAGAATTACCTTCTAATATCGTTGACCTACTGAAATATATGGAAGAGATTGAAGATTTCAAACATTGTGAAGATGAGATTCGAGCTGCTTCTATGCTGGAAACATGCGGTTTCTCATTAGATCATGTACCTGGTCATTTGTTAAAATCCAAGGAGGTAAATGCAATGACATACAAAGTATTTTTTGTTGTGCAACTCGTTAGAATTTTTTAATTATTTAAGAACTGTTAAGCATAAGATTATAAAAAATATAATTTTTAACAAATTAAAACAAACGTTTTTATTGGTTAAAAATTGCATTTACAAACGTCATAAAATTATATTCTACGTATTATTTTAAGAAATTATTAAATTTATTATATTAAATTATTAAAAGATGTATAGTGCTAAATTTCTAATAGTACAAAAGAGAAAAGATTCTGTCTTATTATTAAATTAAAAAAAGTTTATTTACGACTAGCGTTAAAAAAATGCACTTATCAAAATTCATTGATTCCTAATTTGACAATCCAATAACATTTATTATTTTATACGTAGGTTTGGAATTCATTGCTAATGTCAATGGATGTTATTGCGCTTCTAAACAACCTGCAAAGGATTCACAATCTTGGATTTCTCGTTATTAATGAACCAGCAGTCGAGAAAGTAACAGAACGACTTACGAATTCAGAATACATTGAAAAAAGTGCAGTTCATCCGGCATTAATTTTTATTACTCTTAAAAATTATCAATGTTCCGGAAAGTAAGTACTCAACAATTTTCAACAGTGCTCTATATGATTTAAATTTAAATAACTTACGAAACTATCATTGATAAATATGCATTTTTAAGATGTCTGACCTATGAAAAGCGAAAAGTTCGAGAATTAGCAAGGAGGTCTATACCGCCAGGATTTAATCCAAATATCAAAATAATGGACGCTCTAAACGAAGCATTCCATCTATCATTTAAAGTAAGTAAATTTGTTTATATTTTTTTACAAATTATTATGTAGTCTATATTATTAATTTAATTTATATTTCTTTATCTCTTCTAATTATTAACATAATAATAAACATTAGCTAAGTGTACATTGTGAATATAGGTAAAATAATAAGTAAGTAAAAACTAAATGTCAAAATTATCTGTATATTTAAAAAAATATTAGTTATTAATTTTTATTAGTGTATAGCTTATGTGTAGCTTATCTTATTTTAATTGTAATAATATAATAATTATTATTATAATATAATGATTTTTATATTATAATAATTACAGAATATACAACCTACAAATTTGCGCTACCTTGTGACAATCAGCACAAACAAATCAATGGAAGCAAGCACTTGGCAAAATGGTAATATGACCGGCCTTGAGACAGCTGCTTTGATGGCACTGATACTTTTACGTTCCGAAGAGAACGTTACCATAGCGACATACAGGAACGTCGGAATTCATCCAGTTAATGTTTTCAAAACTGATTCTTTCGAAGATATTTTGAAAACCTTAAAAATGGTATCTCTAGGAAGTACCAATTCGAGTAAACCAATTTTTTGGGCCACCGCACGATCTAAACAGTTCGATGTCTTTATTAACATTATGGATCAAATATTGCAAAAACATGATGAATCCCAGGAAAGGCTAAAATCTTATAAAGAGGATCTAAATCTTCCTGATACAAAGTAAGTGAACACTTCTATTTATTGAATTTGAATTTCCTGAAAATTAAAAAGAAGGAAAGGAATTTCTCGGATCATCTAAAATTTGTTTTTCAGTATTTTACAATTTAATTTAATTTAATCTTATTTTATTTTAATGTATTTATAAGTATAAAATAACAATTGATATTTAATATCATCATACAAATTGCAAGTATCAAAATATGTCTTTTGCAATAATAATATAAATATAGTATCTGCTGTAATATAAATGAATATAAATCTATGACTTTTTCACAGACTAATCACTTGCGCCTTATGCTCTTCTTCACCATATCGTAGAGAACACTATGACCGACATGTCTTGACGATCAACGGTTTTGATGCTACCGTACCTAATGTCATTCAGGCGTTCGTAAAGGGTTTATTTTAGATGTGAGCACGAGTTAAATCTCTCTATATAAATAACGTCGATTTGAAGACGATCACACATTGATCACTTACACAGTCTCTAACACTTTTGTATTGTATTTTTGCAGAAGATTCTTCAAAACATGTTTCTTCGAAAAGTCACAAATGATCAATTAAGAAGAAAATTTTATCGTCTTAAAGCATTGTTTCGATCTGAAAATGAAGAAGAAAGAAGAATATGGCAGTTTCGGAAGTCAGTGATGAGAATTTATCTCGTTAGAACAGATTTTTCTTCAAAGCTGAATTGATTAATGAGCACACTAATGCAGAAAGTGAGCGAAGAAAAAAAGTTATAGAAAGAGCTTTCAGAAATTACTTAAAATAGTGCCGAATTTTGGAATTCAAACTGTCTCGCCTTTTTCATCAGTTCCAAACATCGGCTTGGTTGCATATCCATGACTGAATCAAATTATATTTAATTGTGCTATCCGTTAATTTTTTTGAGATATATCCAAGAGAGACAGTATACTTTTTAAAACGTACTGGAAATAGAGAGGTAAACGATGAAGGTGATTGAGAAAAGTGATCGTGCACTATAATTGGCATGTAAATGGTAATATTAATATTTACTACATGTTCTTAGTGTTAGGAAAGAGCTGTGTAGCATTTTCCTTTTTTGTTGATAAGATGATCATAAAATGATTAGGTATTTTTTTACTTTCATTCGGATTTGTGACGATACGATTCAAATAACTTGGCAATTTTATTTTTAGTAAACGTTAACACAGTATCGTATCGATCCGATTATATAAGCAATATATACATTAGTTATGGACTATTTTTATTAAACTGTTGCAAACGAAATCTCAGTTTTATGTTAATTATTTTTTGAGATATACATTTAATTATAATCTTTTTTTCTTTTTATATTCGTATTTTAATATTATATGTAAATTCATACTTCTAAAATAAGTTTCAAAATTTTGCATATTATATTTAAAGCATGATTTGTTTAAAACATTTAAAGCTGTCGAATATTTTCCTATTTAAATCAATTTTAAAAGAAAATTATTTTTTATTTGATACATATAATTATTGTAATATGTATTATTGTATATATACATTATAAAGTCGTTCTTATAAATTAATAGTCCTCAAACTCGTTCTCACGCGCGCGCACACATACACACAAAATTTTTATCTCCACTTTTCGAAAAATAATTATTCTATAATTATCTTTGCCTAAAAACTTAGTACGGTCTGCGAAAAGTTAGTTTATTCTTTAGGGTCATTCTTCAAATTTAGATGATTTACATTATTTTCATTACGTTCGGATCATTTGACCCATGATGACCATGAAGGATTAAAATTTTTTAACATTTATTAAAATTAAATTCTCTGTCTCCTTTTACTTTTATAAAGATACAGAGAACACTTAAGCATCTGTAACTTAATTTTTACTTAATTTTTAATGTTTATAAGAACGACCTGTTATTTGGTTTTCAAAATAGATTTCGTAATTGTAAAACTATGAAAACTCGAAGTTTCATATGCAACTGTAAGTTTTATTTTGAAAACTAGGAAAAAAGTACAATTCAATAGTCCTATGTTTCAGTAGTGTATTACGCAGCGAAAAAATTTAGGATAAGACTGCATAGCGGATACGAAAACGCGTATCTCAAGTAACATACGGTGCATTTTTTGACTAATGGTAAAAAAAATCTTACTCTAATATTATTAATTGCTTGCTTGTTTCTGGTTGGCGGTGATGCTTCTTTGTAATAATGCGTATAAATAACGTGACCTTATTAAAAAAAAAAAGTAACACGCTTCTGGGACCGGTGCGCTTCTGGGCGGTTAAATAATAATCTAAAATAAGTAAAAAAAAACGACAAAAAAAGAAAGAAGAAAGCGGAAGTCGTAGAAGACGGTGAACATAGGAACGTTGAAAATTTTCCCACTGTGATATGCATTTAGCCCCAAAGAGTTATAGACTTACATTAGTATAATTTTACTGTTACTATCTCATATTTGCCATATCCAAAGTGAACGTGAGACAAATACTAAATACACTACTGAATAATACTGTGATACGAGATACATTGTTGTTGTTCAAACTAGGGAAATGGTATTTAAGTGACGCGGCCAGAAGCGCACCGTGTTTGATATCTGTTGAGTCTCTGCGCAAATTAGTGCGTAAATTTTTTGTTGAAAATTTTGTATATCATATCTCACGAGAGAGAGAGAGAGAGAGAGAGAGAAAAAAAATGGGCTTTCGATCTGCCGATTATTGTTATCGGGTTTTTCCCTCGTTTCTCGCATGAGACCACGGAAGCACGTACCTCTTTCTCACACATTGCTAAAAAGTACAGCGTGGATGAACTCTCAGGTCTTCGAAACAAATTTGAACTAAGTGCTTAACTATTCACCTGTTCTTTGCAGCTGTCCCCGATAATCTACGGATCGAAAGCTGCCAACGTAAATTCTATTTCAATAGACAGTGTTCCGAAAAGGGTATATAAGTAGATTATTCTTTAAGCAATCTGCATTTTGCTCCTGATGAAAATAAAACTAATTAATATTAAATTGAAGTCAACTTTTTGACGAGTTAGGCATGAAAAGAATTCAATTTTATCATTGGCTGTCAAGAGAAATTTATTTAATAAAGCTTCAGAATACTTGACAGGTTTTAAAAGAATAAAAAGCAAGAGAAATCAGTTGTATATTTATCAAAAGGCATATGTATTTTAAGATTATATATAATGATTAAAGCACATGCTAATTTTCCAGATAGAGATTTTAAGCAGAATTGCGTTTGCAACTCAGCAAAAGAAACCATAATATTACGCATAAGTTTATTTTTAAGAATATTTAAGAAAAAAACATTTACACGAACATTTGTTAATCTTGGTTGCGCAGCGTTCCGCAGAGATTTTTGTATAAATTATAATTTATTCGCGGGAGTGAAGTCAGTATATTCTACGCTGGATATTCCTACTCGAACTTCGTGTTTTGGCGAGCATTCGCGCGCTTAGAGAAATTATTTATACACTTACCGTGCACACACCTCCGTGTCTAAATCGTTCAGTGTTATGAGAGAAAAAATCTCTAGCGCATTTTTTTACGGAAAAAACTTCATTCAGAAACGAAATGTCTAGTTACTAAACAAGAGTTTAAGAGTATATATGCTACGATCATATATAGAGTAGCTCAATGTATTCATTGGCATTAGCAAGTAGGCATTACAAGTATTTGTATATGTATGGGAGCGTATTGCGATCGGAGAGGATTCCCCGCATTTCGTCTAAGCTCTTTTTTACAGACGCGTTTACAAGAGTCGACCAATTTAATTCTAAAATCTCTCAATCTCTCTGATAGCAATCTTATCATAGTACAAGCTCCGACCTCCGATTTAATCGCATAACGTTACGCGAAAAAAATTATATTAGTTATAATGTATTAAATTTATATAGCTGTAATATTGAATAATCGAAAGTTACGAGATTCGAGAAGTAAATTTAAAATTGGAATCCTTTCCGCTCGCGGTGTATGCAGATATATGTATTCATTAATACTACTATTATAAGAATATATACGTCCGAAATATAATATAGACTGGCATACTGAAGAAAGAAAATGGATAAGAAAAGCAAAAAAAAAAGGAGAACAGTACAGCCAGAATCTGAAGAGAATCACTTCTCCCATGCTGTTATTTCACAGTCCATTGATTTCAGGATGTGCTGTATAGTTGAACAAGAAGAAAGAAACAATATGTTGAATGTGTTCATGCTAGAAGAAAAAAAAGAAAATATTTACCACGTAAGAGAAGAAAGAGAGAAAAAAATAGGAAATTCCGCATTATGTAGTTATTAAAAATGGGAAACAAAGGGATGTAACGAGAGATCGAGAGACACTCGTCGGGTCCATCGCGGTACCAAGTGCCGTGTCACGGTCGCGCTACATCCTTGCACTTCGCGATATTGAAAGAGGGACAAATTTTCAGCTTCCTTGCCGAAGACGTTTCTCCGACCATTGATTTCGACCAGGAAGCACGAACGATATTTATCCGATGCTCATAGTATTTTACGCGCCGCTGGACACGCATTATCAACCGTCTCTCGGAATAAATGTCGGTTGATCGCAAATCTGTATAGGACTAAGGACTAGATGAGGTACCACTCTGTTTCGATTAGCGGCATTTCAGTGTATTGCAAGTTATTTAAACAAAAAAGAAACTAGCTATCGTTCGATTTGATTTCACACGTACTTCCAACAGTTGGAAGTTACCTGCATCTTGTCTCAATTGTCCGGATATGTACGCGCAGATCTTTCTTTTTCCAAGAAAAAATAATCCGATGTGCGCGGACGTGATTTAATCAACCGAAGGACTTCCATTATTTTTTTAACGTTCTTTTACACATTTCTTCTCAGTCATATGCAGACTTACGCTTGACTAAGATATACATAAGTACGAAATAGCGTCATGTTCCTTAGGATTATATACACGAGACAAAACTTATAATTCCATAATTAGTACATTGTCGCTTCAACGATCTAATAAGAAACTAGACAAAAAAAATGCTCAATACCCGTTGTTCGAAATTTTCGATGCAAATGCCAAAAATATATAAAAAAAAAAGGGAAAAGCGAAATCGAAGAACGGAATGATATTCAATTCTATACATGTACAAACCGCAATGAAATACCTCGTTACTTATTCTCTCAGTGTAAAATAGCAAAAGCGAATTGTACTAACTCTGCGAGTTACGTAAAAAAAAAAAGAGAAAGAAAAGAAATTGTCCTTCTGGTTCGTGATTCACGCACTGAATGCCTATCTTTTGGCCTTATCTTTTTACATACGAAATCCTGTAAAAGCGAAAGAATCGATTCACAGACAAACAATACCGTTCACTCACTGCTACCTGTTCGGTGGTTTCTTCGTGGATATTTGAGGTGTTGAGATTTTTAAGAGATTCCCCGTTCAGCTCTCGGTACGCATACTGTGATCTCATCAAAACCCCCATGCCTTTATCTCAAACGTTAGTCAAAATTGATGTCATTTTGCGGCCAGTACGCGTTTCTCTTCGCGCTGTGAAAGGGATCACTGTGTGATAAGAGACAAATCTTTGGAAAATCTCAAAGCCTTTTCTTCAGATCTCCACGCACTAATCGCAGCGCTCGAAATTATATATTGCTGCGAATTGATTACTCAGCGGTTTTTTTTTGTTTAAGGATAGTATTATTACACATAGATTACATTCAGCGATATATTACTCAGTAAATTATGGTTCATCGGAATCTGCGGAAACAAAAAAAAAAAGAATTGTCGCGTACACCAGCTGCGTAAGAAAAGTTTCAAAATAGACTATGAATGGAAACTTCGAAAAAATTACTTGTTTGTTATTCTTCATTTCTATTGCAAGATTTCGATTTTAGATTTTATCAAAATTAATCTATGACAATTGAAATCCTTCGTAATATCTTACGCTTTTCCAAAACAAAAATGAAAAATAT